CACAGTGCCTCTCCTTGGTTGCAAAAAACAATGTGTGCCTGTTTTCTACCTACTACCCAACATACTTGCAATGTGTAGCCAGTCACAGGATATGAAATCATCTACTCATTACATAGGTATGTGGTTTTAGTTTTGCACTGCAGAATTGATCAAATAGACAATAAGTATTAACGGCAGCATCAATAAATTTGAAACACGAGATAGTGAATCTGAAATGCAAGCTTGCCACATAAGCTCCGCTCCGTTACTTATAATATATATTATATATTATTTAGGGAATAAGGCCTGGTCAGTCTAATGGGTGCCAGTGATTTTATACTCGAACTATCACCATCGAGCATGCGTGACATTACAACCAAGCTACCTAGCTCATTTGCAAGATGCTGAATGTTCAAGATATGATTAGGACCTAAAGGTTGAATGCATAGAGAGTGTGAAATAAATTTCATGGTTTTTCTTAAAACTATACCAATGCAAAAAGCATAGGAAAAAACTTGGCAACCACAGTCCACTTCAATACCTTGACTTCAATCACCAACCACACGTCTGCATCCGACACCAACACCAAAAGCAAAGGATCTCTACGAGACTGGGCACTGGCGTTTACATTACGGATTCGGTTGTTGTTCAGTAAGTCCTGCTTCTTCGCTGCCTACTGCTGTCGAAACCAGTGTCAACGACCGTTGTCAAAATTAATGACGTCTTTTGAAACCATACCACCAATGGCGATCTTCTACAACCTGCTTCTTGCGTCATCAGCGACGCTTTTCTTCATTTTTCCCAGCCGTGATTGGTTGGAAGAAAAAAGCAATATAAGAGCATGATACGTTGAACAGCTCCACGGTCAACTTTGCACTTTGGTAATGTCGGTTCTGCGTAGTTGTTGTATTCATTTCGATGGCTACCAAATTAAAGGAAGTTTTTACCAATGCTCGATCGGGATAATCCAAGGGCAGCCCGCGTGATCAATAATGGGTGTGTACGATGCTCGGATATCACCGATTCATCCCATTGCTCCACCAGATTGACCATAACACTTCACTTACATTCTTGCAATTATTGCAAGTCACCAAATTAAGTACCCAATCCAAACAATTGAGGCGATGAAGGCCCGCCGAGCGTCGAAGCTACCATTCCTCCACATAAAAGACGTCTGTCCGTCTGCTATCGGAAGCGAATTTTTTATACTATTTTGGCTTTTCGGGGTAGGGTAGGGTGGGGTAATTTGATCATGTGGGGCAATTTGAACATAGTGTGAATAACACAAAATTACGGAAAATCCATAAGTGGGATGACAATAAGACCAATGAGATAAATTATCGTAACTAAAAGGGCTATCATATGAACGGGGTTTTAAGTTTCAGGGAATGAAGATGTTGACGCACAGTGTAAAAAATCAATTTCGCAAGGATAAACGCCTAACAACACGTCATTGCAACTTCATTGCAGCGCAAAATCTTGCATTGCTAGCGCCTAATACGCAACGGCTTTTGTTGTACAATGACCTAATCAGTGCCTTTGTGAATTTTATGTTTTACTTTGCCAGCTTGGCTTCACGCGTGAAGTGTCTGCTGAGCAGATCGTTTGTCTAGGAGTATGAAAGTTTTATTTTTAGCCCAACTTCTAAAGCATTCGTCCCTTTCAGATGTAAACGTTACCAACTACAAAGAATTTGCTTTGTCTTGGAACAGGTATATTACATTACAGGCTATAAAAGACATGAGATTAGATTCGAGTAAAGCAATAGCACAGTTACCAGGCAATGGGCAGACAGGCGCAATGTTACCCGCTACACGCGCAGTGAAGGAAACACTGCCGCGCCACTCGGGCTCAACAGGTCCTGACTGGACCGGACCGGTACCGGTACTCACATCACTGCGTGGCGAGGCCGCGGAGGAGCACCGCTCCGTCCGTGACGGGGCGGACGAGTGCCAGCGAGGGCGAACAAGAGAGAGCCAGAAGCGAGCCAGCAGAGCGAGAGCGCCCCGACCTACTTTGTTTTGTTGGGTTAGGCCCTTTCGGTCCAATGAGACCATTTCAGAGCCGGGAGGATGATAGGATATAGGGGGAGACATTGGTCTGGGCAGGCACCCTAGTGAGTCGCCGGGGCTGAGCCCGTCCAGAGGACAGGCCACCCAGCCCCAAGGCACTCACTGCACCCGGCTACGGGGTGCGCTCCCTCGGGAGCAGCGGTGCCGCTCCAAGGGAGCAGCCCGCATGAGATAAAGTTGCCTGTCCAGCCCAGAGGGGGGTTGCGGCGTGGAGGAGAAGGATTTCAGTATCCTGAGGATAGAAGCACGGAACGGTGGCCCCGACCTACGCCACGCGCGCGTATTTATACCGTCACACGCAGTGTGACGTCACAACCCGCGTGCTTTCACGCAATCCGAGGGCCACAGTATAACATATAGAAATAATACACATACACGCACGTTACAGGCATGGCCGTAAGAATCCATCCTTATTCGCGAATGAAACTACATGCGAAATAGGTGCCAACTCACAAACTCACAGAACGTCAGATTAACATATAGAATACCAGATAGGATATAAAGTCACACACTTATTGTTCACAGTTAACATCATTACAATAAACAATGCGACCCGGTACCTCATCGTTGTTTATTGTACCAGAAGGCCCGTATTGTTTCTCGTAATGTTACATTGCCAATTTTAAACGTACATAATGCAACCGACAAACAATGAAACTAGCATTATGTTTTCTGCTTTGGAAAACCCGTGAAACCACGTAAAATAGTGAACATTCCGTGACAGTCAGTTTTGTCTCTAAGGTATCTTATCTTATATGTGCAATAGACCATGCAACCCGTATCAAATTGGGCGACATACATCAGCTTAGAACCTGGCATATCGAATACTGTAAAGTACAATAAATCATGCAGTCCGTGAGGGTCGTTCCTGCAATAAGTTATTACGCACGTATTTACCGTAATACGTCGTAATCTATTTCACACAAGGAATAATGCGATCGATCCGTATTCCAGGTCTGCTCCTATTTATTCTTTGTTAGCTATACAGAGCTACAGGACAAAAAGCCTGTTCCAATCCATTGCAGGGCTAATTACATAAATATAAAGACTACATGTTCTAAACGTCGGAGAAACGCGTACATGACGTGGCACGGCTGTGCGGCGTGAAAGTCGTGACCTCGCGCGCCGGCCCGGTCTCGCCAGCGCGCCCCCAGGGTCGGGCGAAAGCCATCTCCTCGCGCTCCGTCCCGGGTTCACCGTCACGTCCCGAGGGGTTGGGCGAAGGTCGGTCAGTGGCCAGTGCGTAGGTTGCGACACCGTGCCGCCTCGCCGGTGCGTGTGGGTGGTACAGTCTCCAGCACGACACCGGCCTCCGTCCCCGTCGCGGGCTGCGTGGTGTTGCAGCGAGCCTTGCGCCACCAGAGGCAGTGATGCAGGTCGCATCCACCTCGATCGTGGCACGGTCACCGAAGGTGGGGCGCCGGTCGCGCCCACCGCGACCGTGATTTTCTCACACCTTCAATCCAAGAAATTTGCTTTTGAACCCTGTTTTAAAAAATGGCAAAATAACTTTTAGCGTGGGGTAATTTGAACATAGTGTGAGAATTTCAATGAAGACAGGGATAGCTCCGAAAAAAACAACGCTCCCAGTTTTTTTTTTTTTGCCAATATATTCGACCCAAAGCAGTAGCAGATAAGTGATGCCAATTTTAGAAAATTTACGTCTAATATCCGTTTAATGTCCGGCATTTTCGTTGATTTTCCGTCCAAAAATGTTAAAGTCAACTATTTGTCCAAATATGTCCGAAAATTATGCAGCTATCAACACTCAAAACCGTCATTTATATTGCTTATCATGTAATTTTACCAGCCGAAAAGTGTTCATTATATTGAGAGCTTAACAAGCTTTCCATTCGCCAATCAATGCTACGCACGATTACTTGATAAAAATGCTTAAGTGTGGCAGGCTATCGTCCAACGTTGTCCAGACTACTATACCTTTGTGCAATCAAATCCGAATTGGACATTATAAAGAATCGGAACTCCGAATGTCCAGGTTCCGATTGGCACCACTATAACAGATGAAGTAAGGTTTGGTAGAGTTTTATCGAACGGAGATGATAGACGTTCTGTTAATTGAAGAGAGGCGAATTCTGTCAACTGACCGGTGTGCAGCGTGCAGATATTGATACTCTTCAACTCTTATTTTTGTTGTTGTGTTGATTTTTCAAATGATGGTATGTTTAGAATTGCTCTGCCTATTCGTTTATGGGTCAAACAACATTGGTGCTGGCGAGACTATCGTTTTTATGGCAGGTAAAGGCAGTATGTTCAAATTACCCCACGGTGGGACAATTCGAACACACCGTGACTTGGTGGAGAAGTGATGCTATGCTATTCAAGGTATGCTCGGCTCGTCCAAAAATGAGGCTTGCATGGTGAAAGCAAGTGACACATGCGCTACTGAAACAGTTTAACGACAACAGCTCTAGTAGTGACTCCAGAAACGAGGTCTTGTGATGCATGCCGCTTGAAACAGACTCAACTTGTGCTGATGTCGGCGTAATATGCTGCTGTCCGTGGGTTCCATCAAGCTTTGGCGAAATCAATCACATGCTGACAATTAGGCACGGAAAATTCTATGTATTATCATGCCACAAACAATGCACTGTAGGGAACGGCTCAGCAGACCAGTAAAATGACAGATTGAGCATTTCCATATGCAGTTTCATCGATCGATCGCAAGTCGCTTCACATAACCTCATCAATCACTCGCAACTAACAACAATAGCAACAGGACCTGCTACATCACAAAGCAGATATAAAATGATGATAGAGGTCTGACATCATACATCCGATAGGATGATGGGGCTGTCGGCTTCCAACAACAATCATATATTCGTAAATCGCATCCCTGAGGTAGACGTATTAAATTAACTGCAAATATATCTATGACACCTAATAAAAGCAGCGAATAAGTACCAACAAGAAAATATGCTGGCCTATCGGTGGGAGCTGCCCAATTACTATCTTCCATTGCACCAATGTCAGACATAGCCGAACTACTAATAGCGTCCCCGAGGCATCACCGGTCCGCTGTGGTTTGAATTGGTACTACCGGCGCCTCAGCGGTCACTCCGGGCTAGGGCACCCGCCACCTAATCTTTGACGATAAACTTTTAAAAGAACTTTAAAAGTAAGGCACTATTCGAATCGATGATGCCACACCGATCGGTAAATGGCGTGCCTTGAAGGATTGCACTGAACAAATTCTGAGGCACGCAACGTGGAACTGCCCTAAGATGAAGACAAAGCGAGCTACAGCTGTCGATTGCCCATACTGTATACGGTTTACACTTTACACAATGTCCTACCACGCCGTCGAAATACGGTCAGGCTGCTCAACCGCGACTCGTTCCGATTACTGCCCAGAAAATCTACAAACTTCACAGCACACACCCTCACCAATAATGATTCTAAAACATTCATTCATTCGTCATCCGAACATAAATAAAATTATGCAGCTTTAACAACAAGGGCAATGCCAGTCGATCCACTCTGTCCCTTACAAAGCTTCTAACCACCACTCGCCACGAGTATAACAGCTCGCCACCACCCACGCGCCTAAACAGCTGCATTGGGACAGCGAGCGGGCAGCGCATTAAACTGTTCTATCCTTCGCCCAGTGGAAACCCCGCTCTGCTGAACCGACTACCCTATCAACACGTCGTCAAGTAGTTTCCCTGTCCGTCTATAACCAGTTCACCATCAGACTCTGTGTCTAACCAGTCCGCTGTCGGGCTCCTCGACTACGGGCTCCTACTTCACCCTCGGTCTAACTTATTTGTCTAGTCATGCCTAACCAGTCTCCCATCGTACAGTCGCTCTTCAGTGTTCTAGGTCACTACACCGGGTCAGGCCTCGGGTATCACAGCGGGCTGGTAGAGCGGCGACCGGACACTGCCCCAGCCCGACCACAGTTCGGCCAGCCGCTGGCCTAGTGGTGAGTGTAGCACTCGTAAGTACACCTGGGGAACCAATAGACGGTCAGTACTGCGGAGACACCAAACACCACCTCGTACGGCGGCACATCGGGTAATGGGTACATACCATCACACTTGTACGTGCGACGATTGTTATGCTCGCTAGGCGCTATGGCAAACTATTGACGCCTCAGTTAGTGTCAGATCAATGCTGAGTGTTGTACCTCCTGATAGAGCAAACAATGTGCAATTATAATTATTTCGTTCGTTCATTGGGGTTTAGGGGCGCGTCGAATTATAATTATTTCCCAGACTATAATAACAGCATATTAAAAAAAAAACTCCCGGCGTTATAAATATCCAGTGTAGGACAGCCGGGAGCCAGAAGTAGCGACACCGGATGCAGATCGGCATCAGAAGTCTAACTCTAAAGTTACAAGGTCTAACTCTGTACAGATCCCTCATAGTATGTCCTCCCAGAGCTACTCACCTCATATATTTTGATTTTCAGCAGCGTCCAGTGTTGGGTGGCGAGCACGGCCAGCCGACCGGGAGTGCTCTCACAGCGCTGGTACCGTTCGCCGTACACGGACCGCACACAGCACTCGCACATCGTCAGCAGCGACGTCATGCTGGGGGAAGACCGGAGAGAGGGGTGTGGCAGAGACGCGCTGACAAAGAGACGTCAGAGAACATACTGACGTACACGGGGGAAGGCAGATATAGTGACTTCAGAGGGCTAAGTATGCCGAGCTTTCGAGCACACTGGACACATGGGGAAAGCCGATGAGGGAATCAACGAGGTCCCAGGGTACACTAGGACAGTGTCAGTAACATGGTATGAAGCAGTCAAGCCCTAAGACACAAACAGTACCGTCATGACATAAAGCAGCGTCGTCAGAGGAAAGCGCCAACAGCGACAGTGACAAGCATGATAAAACACAACAGCAGCACAAGGCAAACACTAACGCAATCCGAACGCATATTTCGGTGGCGGCAAGACGCTCTGTCTCTTACCTGCCCTTAGTGCCAAGGCTGTAGTCGATGCCTCGAAGGAGGTCGTTGGTTTTGAAGATGAGCAGCAGCTCGCGGGGCACCTTGTTGAGGACGGCAGCGATCTCTGGTAGGTAGCGACTCACCTCCTCCTTAATGGTACCCTCCTGAGGGCCGAAGAGTGTGGTATTATATTAGGCCGCTGGTTAGCCCTTCAGTGGTAACCTTGGACCGAGTCAGCCTTTCCGGTTTCACATGCAGACAGGGGCTACGGTTAGCCAGGCCGGGGACGAAGTAGAGACACCGTCGCGCGCTATCTCTACCGCTGTTTGTCGCCAGGTACCACACCGCCAGTTATATACTCACTCAAATGAACAAACGCACGCTGTATGAAACTAAAAGAAAATAGCTCGTGTTCCGTAAAGGAACCGGTGAGCTTCAAAGCCGCTTAACTGAGTTATTTTTTCCGACTGAGTCAGACTCAGTGACTGACCTCTGCCTCGGTGAGTTTCTGTTTGTCCAGACCGGTGGTGATGGCCTGCCAGCTCCGTCCCGCCACCATACAGGCCAGCAGGCCGTACAGCCGGCCCACGCCCAGCCGGCCGCCCTCCCGCTCCATGCTGACCAGGTCACCAGAGAGGATCGACAGCCAGAACCGGCTGTAGCTCCAGCGTAGTTTGTCAGGGAGAGTCTGTGGGGGCGGCGAGCGGCGGTCAGATATTAGCAGACACCTCGTGTGCTGTACTAGTATATGACAGACAGGACATGCTGTAGCTCCAGCGCAGTTTGTCAGGGAGAGTCTGCGGGGGCGACGAGCGGCAGTCAGAGGGGTTAGCGGAAATATTGTGTTCACTAAATGCACGGTCGATAACAGGCAAACACTGAACCCCAGGACCTAACGCAGAGCCGACGGTCCATAGCCCACATCATGAAAAGCTCACAACAGCATCACACCGGATCCGTTATGTGCTGTACGCTTCCAATCAGACCCATCGTGTACAACCCATACCCACACCAAACCCGTCTTGCATAGCCCTAACTCACACCGAAACCACCGTGTAAAGGCCTGCACTGGCCGACAGACCCACCTATAACTCTGTCCGTACAGTACACAGCCCATACACACACCAGAGTCTCCTTCGACAGTCCCGCGTACCGTATAGAGGCCGTGGTCGAGTAGTACAATCTCCACGTTGCCTCCGTCATTTTTGCGAACTAGCAGGTTACCCGGGTGTGGATCGCAGTGAATATACCTGAAACATCAGTGCAGAGAGGTGAGAATGCAGTACAGGAGTGAGCGATGTGGAGAAAAACAGCGAGCTCGCCAAGCGACCACACTATCTACTTACGAAACTAAGGACAGTGTGTTTTCGCTAACTGATCCGAACACTTAATTGAGCGCCGGATCTAGCCACTTCTGCGCTTGCTATAAGACAAATACCTCTGAGGGTCTGCTAACTTTCTTGGTGGATAATGACAGCACACTACACCTTTTCTGTCACCTTTTCTGCTCCTGCTCACCCTTTCTCGAATATCATTTCTGAGTAGAGTTTTCCGAGCTTCTGCGAGACCTCACGGGGCGAGATACCGTGTGTGTGCAGGTAGTCGGGGTCGTTGACCTGGCCACCGTCACAGTACTCCATAGTGAGCACACGGGACGTCGTCAGGTCCCAGCGAACCTTGGGGACCTGACAAGAGACAGGGTAAGGTGAGGTCAGGTCCCAGCAAACCTTGGGAACCTGACGAAAAGGGCAGGGTATGGTCAGGTCCCAACAAACCATGGGAGCCTGGCGATAGAGCGGGCCGGCAATTGGGTGATGTATCCAGTGAAAAAGAATGGAAGCAACATTTCAATAAGTTAAAATGTGGCCTATGTAGTCTGTGAGCGTTCAAATGGAACATTCCTACATGACATGTTTGCTCGAAAGATGGAGTCGGTGAGGTAAACACCGATGGATGAGCCCCCAACCCGTACCCGAAGCCAGGCGAAGTGTTTGAACATGTCGGCGACTCTTTCGGCATTTTTGGCCTCCTGACTGAAGTCAAGCTCCCTCGGGAGGTTCTTCTTGGTCTCTTCTGCCAGCCACATCAGCTCAAAGTCGGGAAACACCCAGGCCACCAGCCGCACTAGCACCTGAGACAAACAAGTATGAACAAAGGTTAGTGGTTACTGTGGCAAAGGTAAGATAGTGCTGTTAGAGCATCGGAAGCGTTGGCTTACATAACGAACATCGCTTTGAACGCCAATTAACCGTGACTTACAGAAAAACTACTTGGGGTGAAATAGAAATTCTATCAAATTATTCCTGATGAGATCCAACAGCGAGCTGTAACTCGATATAGACTGTATCCCCGATCCCGTCAATCGAGCCCGTTATAAGACCCTTGTGCCCGTCTTCCCCGCCGGGCACCAGCCCGCACTCAGTTCTCACCTCCATGGTCTTCATATCGACAAACGAGTTGGCCAGCACGGTCGGGTGCTGGATCTTGAGCGCCACCGTGGAGCCGTCCGTCAGCCGGGCCCGGTGGACCTGAGCCAGGGAGGCGGTGCCCAGCGGCTCCGGGTCCACCTCCGCGACCACGTCTGACGCCTGGGGATAGAGACAAAGGTAGTGATGATATGTCAATGTCTGACACCTGCACATACAAGCATCGTAACACATCGATGCCTGAGCACAGACAAATACAGTGACGACACGTAAAAGTTCGTATTGTGTCCATAGTCGTGTCAACGTGATACACCTTTCACAAATCAGCACAACAATTAATCGCGAAACTGGCATGACGCGCCAGCAAGAACACCGCAAACAAAAAGCTTTAGTTACCAGTTATTCGTCAAATATGTCCACTATGTTCATCATCGGTCGCTGACAACGCGAACCATCAGCAGTGACCGTTCTACACACCTTGACGCCGAGCTCGGTGCTGAGGAGTGCCAGCAGCTCGTGCAGCGGTGTCTGCGGCGCCCTCGAGTGCAGAATCCGCAGCGTGCGTACGTACTCCGCCGGAATGAGGTAGTCCAGGGCGCCCAGGTGCTGTCCCACTGCCGGAAACGAAATTACAGTAAGGTAAACTGAGCGGTGACCGTGACAATGACGGGCACGGGGAATGAGCACCGGGATTCTTTTACATTACTCCATTTCGTAGCAACGACAAAAGTTGCAGGCTATTTTATTGGTTGCATGCATTTTACAAACGTATCTAATCACAGCAACAATTCATGATGATGATTGATTGAGTATGCTGTGGCAGAATACGCAAATTAAGCACCTAAGATGACGTGGTAGGACTTTAATCATCTCAGCTGTCGAGGAAATAGTCACCTTTGATAAAGCAGCCCCTGTTGGCGCAGCAGAGCCGCAGCAGTCGGTCGGCGCCCCGCTGGTGCACCTCCGACTTGAGCCGGTCATACTCTGCAGTGCCGGCCACCAGACCACTCCAGTACAGAGAGCGCTGGTAGTCCCAGCTGATCTGACCCACCTGAAGAGGCACACATTGGGTAGGAAAACTGGGAGAGGGAGACAGAACAGTAGAATACAAGCTGTAGAGGAATTTAGAAGTAAGATTCCTAGCCTCCCATTGCTAAAAAAGACTACAGTAGGTACCAGAAATGCATAGTTAAAAGTGTGTGAATCAATGTAAATAGGTTTAAGCTAAACAGAAGGATGAACCATGTTTTCATCAATATGATGTGAATATGACTAAATATATTATTCATTCTAAATTTACCTTGCATTGCAGCTCAGTTTACTAGGCCAATGTGGGTAAGTTATGTGAATAAGTCAAAGCTTATATGAGGTGATTGTGCTGCCCAACTCACTGTGATGGCTGCTCTGCCAAACCTGACCAGGCCAATGGCATGCAGGTCCCAGTCATTGGCTCTCAGTGACGCGTACACACTGCCCACCAACCCGGCAGTGGCCACCAGCTTTAACAGTCCTCTTTGTCTTCTGTGCATGATACTGCCCAGCGTTAGTCAATTTGATTATCACCTGCAGGAATGAGTGACAACTTGATTAAAACTTCCATGCATCACAAGTGACATGATTCACCTGTGGTGTGGTTATGTCATACACCTACCAGGTACATTTTCAACACTGAAAAGAAAAACAATCATCAATTCATTTGCCCATGTCTATCATTAGCCTATGGTTCTTATATCACATAACTCATAACAAACATAACAAGGACTGGAATGAAAAAGAAATCAACATGGATATAATGTAAGAGGTTCCCAGTGGCGCGGGAACCGGGGGGCTAGCGGGGGCTGAGCCCCCGCCCCAGTTTTTCGGCTGGGGGGGCTCGTAATGTATTTGAGCCCCCCCAGCTGGAGGAATCGAAATCGGAAATCTACCAACATAATTTCATAGATTCATACATAGGCGCGGGAACCGGGGGAGGGGGCAGTGGGGGAAGCTTGCCCCCACAACTCTGCGGCCGAGGGGCGGTGCCCCACAACGTTTCATGAGGCCAGGAACCGTTGGGCAGCTTGTCCTCCCCAAATTAGGGGTTGTGGGTCACAAAGGAAGAAAGCATGTAAGTGAAAAATCCACCTATTTCACTGGCTCGGCAACTCATTTGGCAGATTAAAACCTTTACTCCAGGTTGCCAAAACGGTAGTTTCTTCACTCAGCTGAGACGGAATACCTTTTTTGTTGTTGTTGAAAAGGCCAAGGTCTGAAAAATAAGTGGCCTAAAACCGGTGAGAAAACTAGATTTGGGGGTACCCTAGGTTGATTTCTATTATGGTTCAGCCCCCCCAGTCTGGAAGAAGTTCCCGCGCCACTTGAGGTTCCAACTTCCAACAAGCATGGACCATGGTAGGGGGTTTGTCAGTCCCATGACATCCATGGGCAGATGGTGCCAACTGCCAATTAACCCTATTACATTGACACTTTACGGGTCAAGGCCCATTGGAGCGTGGACATTGAAGTCCTGAGGGCTGTTCACTGGCCCTGTGTGCGGTCGGACCGCACAAAGCCTCCAAGCTCTACCCACTGCATCCCTACGTCAGCCTTCTGTCACCGCACACACTAGGCATCTATATCAATTTATCTTGTTTCTGACAATCATGGAATCAAGCACAATACCAATACAAATCATGGGAAATAAATATTTCAACTGCTTACTATTTACCGAAGGAAAGCAGCATTGAGCCCCTAGTCCAAACCAGAAATCCAAGGTATATAAAAACACTCAGAAATTGAAATACCTACACCCCTTTGACAAATTTTCATAATTTTATCTCTCTTTGGCAAGCCCATCTATACTCTTTGGAATGATTTTGGAGCCTGTTTGAAGACTATGGTTGTGTCGCTCTGTGAGTTCTGGCAACGACTACGAGCCAATGAAAGAAAGCCTTAGATCGATCAGCTGAAAATTCCGGTCGTGAGCGTCCCTTAGCATAAAAAATAAACACGGGAAAGGGGAGTTTTGATTGGAGTAGGTGCGCCATTTATGTCGCATTTATTTACTTCCATATGAAAGTTTTCTTGAGTAAAAAATCCGGTGGTTCATTATGTAACTGGTTTACACTTCACCCGGTTTACATAGCATATTTGACGAGGCTCTAGCTCGTTAATTTGGCGATAATTTCGATGCAGTGGTCTACAAATATTTAAAGGGGATCATTTTGTAAATTGTTAAGCACCATTGGCATCTTTTGCAACATCACGGACGGAGATATACCTAAGCTTGCAACAAACCCTATGTAAACCGGGTTATCGACATAGCCTTGTGTAACGACTATCGAACATCTCATCATTTACTAAAAATAAAATGACCCAAATACTGACATTTAACCCGCGCCCGGGTGAGTCAATCAGCCAACTTCGACAGACTACATGAAGGGGCGCGTTTTGGCAACATCAGGCTGGTTATCTCATCTCAGAAATTAAGAATGCTAGAAAGACGATGTGAAAGCAATTTAGATAGCAATAGATAGCTCAAGCTATCAGATCTTTCGGAACATACAGGTCATTTTTCGATCAGACGCTGACGGGCTGAGGTCACTGGAAGCGCTTGTATTCCCGCATATACAATACTGTATCAGTGTTTGGGGAAGCTGCAACGTTACCCAGAAAAAGCGCATTCAGAAAATAATCAACTTCGGTGCTCGCATAGCGTGTGGCCTGAGCCGGCGCGAACATGTAACCCCAGCACTGCAGGAGCTAGCCTGGAAATGTGTTGACGACCTGATTTGCGATCATGATCTCACCATTGTACGACATCTGCTGACCTCAGCTAACGCCCCTGAGATCTTGCGTAATAAGCTGGTCTTAAGATCTGACGAGTCTACCAGATGTAGGTACTCGTTCGACCGAGAATGGATTATTGAATCTGCCTCGTGTTAGAACCGAGCTCGCCCGCCGTGGCTTCCTTTTTCGTGCTAGTAAGGAATGGAATGGTGTTTAGTGTTTTTTAGTGTGCTTGTTCTTTTGCTATGTGGTTTTAACTAGATATTTTATATTTTTATTTCGCATTGTATATGACGTGGAAGTCACAAAACCCATTGTATGGAGACTCCGAATAAACGTCTGTCTGTCTGTCTGTCTGAGGTCACCAAAACTCAAAAGTAGAGATAGGTATCACCACACTTGGTTCCCGATTTTGACAATGTTTCACAAATCGGCGAATAAGTCGGGAGACAGGGACCAAACCAATGAGCTACAGCGCCGCGGAAAAGCTCATTCGGTAGCTCTTCTAACGCTCTTTCGCTAACATGTGATCAGATTTGACCTAAGGTCAGCGGTTTTACCTCCGGACCGGAGGTAAAAATTCAAAAACCACAAAAATAAATAAATAAATAAATAAATAAATAAATAAATAAATAAATAAATAAATAAATGAAATGTTCACCATAACTACACGGTACACCGACTGAACAATGAACTTGAAACGGTCAGTAGGTAGGTTCTTCCGTTTCATAAGGATGAGAGGATCTTGAGGTTCATCTTGGATTCTGAATATCAGTCATGACTCACCAAAGAACAACGAAAGTCACAACGAAAGTAATGCAAACCCACTCTCATGCATCATTTTTAATTTGGCACCTAATACATATCCCGTTCCTTTACGACGGGCCAAGCTGTTGAAAAATCTCGTTTTTTTATCTTCACTCATTTTCTAAAGTTCGTCTTAATAGACAGAGTTCGGAATTGCAATACCGCCAATCGAGCGAAGAACTACGCAGCATTTACGCCGAACAACTTCGCTGCAACTGCAACAGACGTTATTTGGAAAGACGCGAAACTACGATCGAGAGCCGCGTACGTACCAGTCACCGACCAAGCATGACTTGATCTCATGCTAAAGTTCACGATGTCTATCCGTGTGTCGAACCAGACCTTGCCCAGAGCACATGAAGAGCTGGATTATTCTGAACGTTACAGCGCACTCCATACGCCAATAAGCCAGCCGGTATGCTCAATGCGCATTTGTTCAGCTGTTACGTTTGAGGCAAAATAAATATTGTATCATCACTGCCGGATCCAGCCGTGCGTCTTCCTTGAGATAGGAGCAGATGGCATCTCAGGGCGGACAGTTATATTGAGCAACGGACAGGGGATGCTTACTGCTTTCCTTTTACTTATTACCTAATGCCATAGCATAAAACATCGAAAAGGGTATGCCTATTGTGTACTACAAGTTGTGGAGCGCGGCGGAATCCGACACAATTTCTCGACATAAAATGGGCAAATTAACCAAGGGCGGATCCAAGGGGGGCCAACGGGGCCATGCCCCCCCCCCCCAAGACGGTCAAAGGGGGGGCCATACTATCTTTTGGCCCCCCCCAAAAACATAAGTCAAGAAAACTAAAAAATAAACATTCTCAAAGTTCCTATGCTGAAAACTGAAATATTGCTTTGATGATTGAGTGACCTTGGGGCAAACGTGAAAAACTCTGCCAACCAGAGTCAAAATGGCCTGTGCCGGCGAGGGTTAACATGTAGGAGAAATTGACATGATATCACATTGTTATTCGCATTCATAGGCACGTGTTCTGTATTGTGTACTGGTTGGTTTTAATTGCAAATTTGTTGGAAAATAAGATTGTCATTAGGCACTTTTTTTAAGAAAAAGGTATTTTCAACGTTTGCCGTGGCCAAATGTGTGATTCTTGTCAGAAAACTGAGGAATGATCATAACAACACTGAGTATAATCAACTTCAGCTTGAGAGATTTCAAGAAGCCTTAATAGCTGAAGCTTCTTCATAGTTCATTAACACTATTAAACAGGAGCTTTCTTGTCTCATGCCTGAATGTATATGGATTTAAACCTCGCCCGTATTGGCGTTTTGTCAGAAGCGAACGTATATGGGGGGGGGGGGGATTGCCGTTTGGCCGCTGATCGAGCTAGAGCTTCGCGAAAAAAAAAACGAGCGTGCTGCCCGTGACGAGAGGAAGACGATGATACCCAATTTAAGGTCCTAGGTCATTGGTTCATGGTTGACCTTCCAGGTCAGGTCAATGACCCAAACATGGCGTGTCATTTCGCGAACTAGCGACCGGAGTTTAGTACACCTCCTCACCGACAGATGGCAGGACAACTGCGTGAGAATATACCTGAGAAAAACGTAAAAAAGCAAAACAAATATCACGATCATCATTGCAAGCGTACAATAAACCGCCAAGAAGACCACTTTAACGATTTATAGGTTTAAAATGGCGAGTTCGCTAAAATAAGATCCAGCCAACATGCCACGGGCTCGCCCGGTATTCATTGCATGCACTTATCATCGAACATTGCGGGCACATTTTTGAACGGAATGAATCGAAACTCGGTGACAGTAGTCTTCAATGTATCCACCAAGCGGAGCCAGGGAACATTTTTGATAAACCTAATAGTTTCAGAGATATTCAATGATAACCGAGATTCAGTCGCTCCGTCGGCGGCGTTCCCGACGATTTAACATGGGAAAATGAGAATAACTTGCAAAATGTACACGACGATTGCGGGCACAGTTTTAGAGTCTCGCACACCAAAATGGCATCAATATGTTCCAAATTGATCATAGTTTCCTGTACTCGGGAACATCTTTGATAAACGGTCCCGTTCTGCCGCAATCGCCGGTAATGTGACGAATCCGCGCGAAATCCCTATGGCAGCCGGTGCGCCGGAGCGGCCGGCCGCCGGTCGCTAGTTCGCGAAATGACACGCCATGAGTCGGGAAAATTGGGACCTGTTAGAGCGTCGTAAGTGTGGCTGAGCTTTTCCGGTGTGCTGATCACGAATATCGTGTTAGTGTTGATCCCAGAAGATGTCTTCATGCATTTAGGCCAGGTCGGGTCAGGTCAACCAGTAGTGGTCCTGCCGGGTATTCGTAGTACGTGTCAACCGCCTCTGACAGCTTCGTAACATGTTACGAAGGCACCAAAAGTACTTCGTAAATGTTCAAATGGTTGCTGAATTCGAGTTCAGCTCCAAAAACTAGCCTAGAAACATGTAAAACGCGAAAAAGTGAACTGAGGTCATCAAAGGTCAATGACCTGACCTGACCTTCAAGTGACCTTCACACCCATCCAAATGCATGAGACCAACATCATATCACATGTTTGAACGCTTGAAACCACGAAAAGACTGCAAACGCGCGGCTTGGGCTAATGCGAGCCAACATACGCCGAATCGCGATCCCGGCCAAACATGGTCTCGAGAAATAGGTCACAGGTCAAAGGTCACTTGGGTCAGGGTAATTAAAGTTTCAGGGTAGATGAAAAATTGATTAACTCGAGGGTACTGAAGGATTCGTCGCGATTAGCCGTTTTTACGCGAGTTATTCGCGAAAAACCGAGGGGGGTTGGGTCTGTTCGACCCCTCCCCCTATACGGGGGAGGGTTAACAGAGGAAGACACAATTTCCCCTTACCTGTACTTCTTTTTGAAGTGTTTCAAGCGTCATTTTGAGAAGGTGCTTTATTCAGTTAGGGGGTGCATGTGCACCCCTAAAACCCCTAATGCTCCACCATATGTCACTAACTAAACCCACTATTTGCAGTTATACTTAATGACACATGGGTAGTTTTCACTCAACATAGTAGGATAGTTAAGCATTAAATGCAAAAATAGAGCTTGAGATTGTCCGGCATTTAGCCCAACAGGATACCTCTTCAATCGTCCTAGCTGAACCCAGCATAAGCTCAGCTTGTCTGAACTCGGACACACCATCAAATCAACATTGCCGAGTCTGAATTTGAGCTCGACGCCGGGCCATAGGCCTGAACTTTGTGGTCATGGGCGCGGGAGCTGGGGGTCAGTGGGGGCAGCCTGCCCCCACAACTCTGGGGCCGTGGGGGCGCTGCCCCACAACTTTTCATAGGGCTAGGAACCGTCGGGGCAGCTTGCCCTCCCTGAATTAGCGGTTGTGGGTCACAAAGGAAAACT